CCATCCAAAACAAACAAAAAGAATTTGGTTCAGAGCCTTGAGATCTAGTATAGGCCTCACGTCTCCATCTGGTTTTGGAACAGGTTCGAGTAGAAGCCCCTGAACCTCTCGTTTGATGGCACTTCCACAATTTTGATAAATTGCCCCACTGTGCCCGACAGAAGAGAATTACTGCTGTGTGCTGTTATTGGGAACTGCTAAGAAGCCATTATATATACAGTAAGTGTTGGAAATGGATATTATTTCCTAAAAGGGAAACTTTGAAATAATATTTATATGACTGCACAGGCATTTTTTGCAGTCATTACCTCAGTGTCCGAATATTTCAACTCTCTTGACTCATGCTAAACTAGTGATGTTTGAATACCTGGTTACTGCAGAAACGTTTGTGATTATATTAACTGTGTTGAACCTCATTCTACTCTTAAAAAATAAAAAAAAAAAATAATTAGTCTTTCCTTGGGTTACAAGTTGCACTAAATAATTCATGTATAGCCAAAATGTTTACGCTTTTTAGAGTAGGAAAAGGTTCAATCCAGAAAGTAAAAATCACACACGGGTACTTTAAAAACAGACATCTTAGATGTACTTTGCGGCTTCCTTAAATCTTTTCATGCCAGCCAATGCAGCCACTAGGTGGGTGGGCCTTAACGCTGAGAGGCCACACAGATATGTGATTATCAGTGCCCTGCAGTCAGTGCCTCCCACCAGTGACCATCATTACTGCATATCAGTGCAGCATCATCAGTGCCCCATCAATGCCCATTAGTGCAACTTATCAGTGCCACCTCATCAGTACTACCTATCCGTACAGCCTCATCAATACACATCAGTGAAGGAGAAAAAATGACCTGTTTGCAAAGTTTTATAATAGAAACACAGCAAAAAAAAAAAACTTTTTTTTTTTTCAAATTGTTTGCTCTTTGTTTATAGTGCCAAAAATAAAACACCCAGTGGCGATTAAATACCACCATAAGAAAGATCTACTTGTGTGCAAAAATTTCATATGGGTACAGTGTTGCATGACCGCGCAATTGTCAAAGTGCGACAACACTGAACGCTGAAAAGTGGCCTGGGCACGAAGGTGGTAAAAGTGCCCGGAAGGCAAGTGATTAAAGACATTGTCTTTGGGTGTGCAAACCCCCCCAGGTTGCTAGAGTACTAGCGTAGATAAATTTAGTTTAGCTCCTCTATAGCCAGAGAAGCAGAGTTTAATGGAATAGGAATTGAATAGGAAAGGCTGTGCAGAGCTCCACAGGCTGTGGTCTTGCTACTTCCCAGTCTTCTGGAACTTTATGGATAGTACCAGAAGCTAGTGGCTGCAGCCTGAATATTTATGGATTTCCACCAATCCCTGGGAGGCAGGGCCCAGACAGAGTGGAGATAACCCATAAATACTGAGAAGTCTGGCAGTCTGGGAACAGAATCTGGATTCATGTCATCTGGAGGGACCCCCCTTTGCTGAGGGCTCTTCCACTGGGGGAAAAAGGAAAAAGAGAGAAGAATGCGGCTCCACGACTTCACTCAGCCATAGTTCCAGCTAGGCCTAGCTGGAGACTCCAAGCCAGAATCAGCCGGTTTAGCATCAAGGCCCATAAAGCAGCTCTCTGGAAACATTTAAAAGGGACTGAGTAAGTACCTACCAGCCAATATACTCAAAGCCATACAGAAGACCATTTAGTGCCATGCCGCACATGTCTGGGACTTGGGGGACAGCTGGAGCGCAGTGCAAGACAGCCAGGAGCACCCCCAATATCTCTAACTTGGGTCGAAAGCAGTCTAATGCCATGAAACACAGCCAAGAGCTGCGTCTATAACTTTGACTTGTTGAAGCTTTGTTCATTTTACACGCAGTGCCATAATTCACGTTGGTGTGCAGTTTAGTTTAAAGCAGTATACTGCAGCCAAAGACTTTGGCAGGTCCTCAACCGTTGATAGTTTGCAGCACTGCTTCAGTTGGGGCATCCCCTGTACCCCTAACCAGGATTTACCCAAAAATAAAACAAAGAAAAACCAGAACCCCTAGACTGTTTTATGGAGCCATTTGGAGTGTGTGGAACATTCCTATTGCCACGCTGTGGGTGCTGTGTAGGGGAAAAGCACGAAATTCAGTGGCGCTACAGGTGTTAAGGGAGAGAGCCTATTCCAGATATGAAACACAGAAACCTAGCCTTAGTAAATTAGTCCAGCTGTGGATCAAAATCTCTCCCTTGAAATACCTGTTTTCAGGGAACCCATGCTAAAATTTATATCTACAGCTCTATGGAGGAAAAAAAAAAAACACTTGAGACTGACTTTATACCTGGCAGTTATGTGTCATCACTAGTGATCCTGGACAAAAAGTTCAAAGAGCTAATGATGGTGCACTCTGTTCTTTACAATATGACATATTTTTGCATTATCAGATAGGTACACATACACATTGTACAGGAAATGCCAAAACAAACGACTTTCATGAAAGGATCGCAAAGCTACAAATTTGAAAACAAAGAATGACTTAAATATACATCAACATGTTAAATCTTTTGACATTGATTGGTTTAAATTTACCTCTTAATGTTTGGCTTAAATTGGGTTTAAATCCAATACTAGATCTGATGAATAGCGCCCAGACAAGACATCCATGCATAATACACCAGATTAATTTAGCTTGTGGTACAACCAAGTGCTGAATTCCTGTTATGTGTAGTATATAGCATAGAGTCGAAGCCTGCAGAAATTGAGACCACCAGTGTGCTCTCTATAAATGCAGCTCGGCTTTGGCCAGACACAAGCAGAAAATAGATAGCGCTACCTAGACCCCAAGGGAGGCCTGCTACATGTATTTTTTATTTTATAGAACCTAAATTACATTGACTGGTTATCTTTCACACAGTAACTGTATTTCTGGGGCATCATTAGCAATTTAAGTGCTAAGGGTATTTGTGGTGATTCTTTAGCAGTAACAGGTTATTAAAAGAAATGTGGATTTCTATTGTACAGCCAATTCTGAAAACTATAGCTTCCTGGCAGTCAATACTTACCGCGTCACTGACCAAGAACTGGTAAGGAAATCTCAATAACAGATTTTATTTGCTGTATAGCTACTCCAGATTGGTACTCAAGAGAGTACTGGATGCATTAGGCACCAGGCAACTAGTATTTCCAGAACCAGGGCCCCTGTGGCAGTGTGTCTACTTTACAAGAAATGTTTCCTTTGATGTATACTTAATTAACTGCTTTCCCACCGCCCTATAGCAGATATACTGCTACAAGGCAGCAGGGGTGCGCATATATATATATATATATATATATATACACACACACACACACACACACACACACACACACATACACACACATGAAGTAGGGGGTGCGTACAAGCCGCGCGCGCGCCCTACCCGCGATTCTATTCGTGGCCTCGACTGGCAATCACCAGGTCCTGGCCGCTGGTTGCGAAGCATTACTGATGGAGGGAGCGAACTGTATGTAAACAATACAGTTCTCTCCCGTGAGCTCCTGCACACTGCTTTGCATGGCAATGGATAGCACAGCGATGCAAAGCAGTGTGCTTACAGTTGAAAGCACAGACAGCACACAGTAAAAGAGCACACAGCTAATCCTTTGATTGCCCCACATGTCAACCCCTTCCTGCCCAGTACCATTAGTACAGTGTCAGTGCTCTTTATTAGCACTGATCACTGTATTGGTGTCACTGGGGATGTCAGCAACACAGTCAGTTCCCACCAGTATCAGACTGCCCGTCGCAGTCGCACTATAAGTTGCTGATTGCCGCCATAACTAATAAAAAAAAAAAAAAAATACCACCATTTGTAAATGCTATAACTTTCACAGAAACTAATTAATTTATACGTATTTGTTTTTTTTTTTTTAGTAAAGACATGTAGCAGAATACATTTTGGCCTAAATTTATGACAAAATTTGATTTTTAAAATTTTTTTTGCTGACATGTTTAATAGCATGTTTTTTTCCTCAAAATTGTGAGTCTTATTTTTTCTTAAAGCACAAAAAATAAAAAATGCACAGGCTATCAAATACCACCGAAAGAAAGCTCTATTTGTGAGAAAAAAGGACATACATTTAATTTGGGTGCAGCGTTGCATGACTGTGCAATTGTCAATTAAATTAAAACAGCGCCGTAATGCAAAAAATGGCCTGGTCAGGAAGGGGGGTAAATCCTTTGGAGGGCAAGTGGTTAATGTCAGGGATCAATGAAAGCATGTCAACTAGCACTGTCAGAAAAAGGCCAGGAAGGACAAGTATTTTCTTATGGAGTCTCTGCTTTAAAACTCTGTTCTATGTCCTGATGCAGGAAAGATCAGTGAACCAGGGATCAAATATCAATGTTAAATGTACATGTTGCGTAACAAACACTGAATAAGCAGTTATCATCCAGAAAATACAAGAATATAATTCATAATATAGATTTTGCAAAATTATTAAAATAGAGCTTTTTTTATTGATGGAATAACAAAAGTGCCTCTGTTTAAATAGTTTTCAAAATACAACTGTACAACTTACAATATATTCAAAATAATTATATACAAAATATTACCTTGTTTCAACATATGTGCTTCTGCCTAGCTATGTTTTAATTACAAACCTGGGACTGCATTTAAAAGGTCTCCTGTCCAGCATACATGTCGAATGCTAGTGTTCACACCTCCATTGCTAAAACCAGCTGTGGAACAACCTTGAGAGAAGCCCAATCGGATTTTGGCAAAAAAAGACATTAATCCTAGCCAGTGAGGAAACTTGAATGTGAGGCTAAGAGTCAGCTGTGGAACCTGAGAAAGATCAGCATAGCTGGTCAGTGACCACTGGGAACTGATAAAAACTTTCCGTTACTCCATATAAAGGCATCATTATCCATATAAGAAAAAATGGAAGCATATTAAGGGTACAATCAGTCATTGTAAAGATGGTATAGAAATCTGTGGCAACCACCACCGTTCACAACCTTGTGCCCAACAGCATACAAGGGTTTTCCTTAGGACCATTTAACAGCCACTGAAGTGGTTCATCTGGTTGGATCTTCTGTGAACCTCTTCTAGAAAATTTTCCAACTGCTCTATCAACATGCGCTTTTTAAATCTAAAAATAAGGGATAAGAAAGAAAAAACTGTAACATTAAATTGCAAGGATTTCTCTTTCCAATCTGATGGACTGCTTTATTAAATTTGTACTAGCTACCCAGCTAATTTAATTCTACATAAAATGTTCTCTTAGTTCCTCCCAAGACCACCTGCTTTCTGGCTTCCTTGTCACTGCCTCCCATGCTCGTCTATAGGACTTATCCCCACCTCCGAGTCTCTCCCATCCTATGGAATTCCCTACCCCAATCTGTCTGACTGTCTCCTACTCGGTCTACATTTAGACAATCCCTGAAAACCCATCTCTTCAGACAAGCCTTTGCTGCCCCTACCTAATATCTGTACTTTTATTTTCTCCATCAACTCACCCCCACAGTTCTCTTTTGTATCACTTGACCCTACCTTTTAGATTGTAAGCTCTAACAAGCAGGGCCCTCTGTTTCCAGCTGTATTAAATTGTATTGTAATTGTACTGTCTGCCCTCACGCTGTAGAGCGCTACCGCACACTGTTGGTGCTGTATAGATCCTGTATAATAATAGTAATTAAAGAGAATATATGGTCTTAATTTGTATAAGGCCATATTTATGTATATATAAAATCAGTTTAATAAAAAAGCAGTCTGGCTCTGCGTGCTACATTGATTATAATGTAAAATTACGTGAGAATTAAATCTCACCAACGTGCATTAATGTTTTGCAACTTATTTTATGGAAACTTTTGTGTTTTAGTCAGAATGGAGTTATAGATTTAAATCCCTAGTCATCTCAGGGGACATTTAGCGATGACGTGATTGGTACTACTTTCTTCCATCATCTTGGGGTGTTTGGTAGCAGCTGCTAACCAACCATTCTGGAACATCCACAGGGTTATTAAAAAGGAGAAAATACAGCCAAAGCTCTTTTGGCTGTACTTCTGAGGACCACAGAAATGCAGTTTGTTCTAAACTCCTGTGACACATTTTTCTTAGCTGGTCCAGGCTGGGGAAAGATCCTGACTTTAAAGTCAGGATCCATCCCAGGGTCTGGAGCAGCACCAGGCTCAGCCTCTCAGGAGTCCGCTGAGAGCCTGACCCACCCGCTCCCTCCCCCTCCAGTGATCGCAGGGGGGGGCAGAGCAGACAGCTGTGACTGATAGTCACTGGTCTCTGCTCACAGCGGCTGTGAGAACTAATCGCTCAACGGTCATGTGATTGCCGAGTTCTCACACTTATAGCCGGTGGGGGACAGATGGAGCACTAGACCGATGCTGCATCCACCTAGGGAGGCATGATTTTTTTAAAAAAACAAAAACCCATACTCCTCTTAAGTATGGACATGGTTTGATCGGGCCTTCAAACTTGAATGCAATATGGGCCCATCATTACAACAGGGGATGGCAAGCTATGGCACTGCCAGGAAGTGTTGGTGATTTGTGAATGTGTGCGGGTTTAGGTATAGCAACAGGACTAGCAAACCAAATACGCTATTCACAGGTATAAACTACTAGGTTTGAAGATGATTGACCAGTCCACCCTAATAAAGCTGATATTCCTGGGTTGAATCACCCTTTGTCTTCATAGATTTCATGGAGACTGGAGATCTTTGCATTTGAACTGCTGGTGCCCAAGCACCTGCAGCCATTACATGAAGACTCAACCTATCAGTTTCTATTTATTTTACATTACCAGGAATATAGCAGACAGAGCCAGACTGCTTTTCCTACAACAAGAGGAATAAGACTTGATTTTAGCATGTGATACAGATCTTGCCACTGGAGATATAGCAATCTGTGAGTAGATTTAGATACTATTTTCCCAGCAAAACGAAGATAAAAAATGACTAAACATCTACAGTTAGGTCCATATATATTTGGACACAGGCACAATTTTCACACTTTTGGCTCTGTATGCCACCAGAATAACTTAAAAGAAAACAATTCAAATGAATTGGAAGTGCAGACTTTCAACTTTAATTTAAGTGGTTGAACATAAATATCAAGCACAAATTTTAGGAACTGCAACCATTTTTAAACACAGTCCCTCCATTTTTAGGGGCTCAAATGTAATTGGACAAATGAATATAATCATAAATAAAATGTTGATTTTTTAATATTTTGTTGAGAATCCTTTACTGGCAATGACTGCCTGAAGTCTGGAACCCATGGACATTCCCAAAGACTGGGTTTCTTTCTTTCTGATGCTTTGCCAGGCTCTAACTGCATGCTGTCTTCAGTTGTTCTTTGTTTGCGGGTCTTTCAGCCTTTATTTTTACCTTCAGCAAGTGAAATGCATGCTCAATTGGGTTGAGATCAGGTGATTGACTCACCCCATTGCAGAATATTCCACTTCTTTTCCAGTGTGTTTTGGATCATTGTCCATCTGTACTGTGAAGCACCTTCCAATCAACTTCGCTGCATTTGGCTGAATCTGGGCTGACCGTATATTTCTAAACACTGCAGAATTCATCCGGCTGCTTCTGTCACATCATCAATAAACACCAATGACCCAGTGCCACTGGAAGCCATGCATGCCATCACACTGCCTCCACCATGTTTTACAGATGACGTTGTGTGCTTTGGATTATGAGCTGTTCCAAGCCTTCTCCACACATTTTTCTTCCCGTCATTCTGGTACAGATTAATACAGAACTTTTCCAGAACTGATCTGGCTTTTTTAGATGTTTTTTGGCAAAGTCTAATCTGGCTTTTCTATTTTTCAGGCTTATGAATGGGGTTTGCACCTTGTGGTGAACCCTCTGTATTTGCTCTTGTGAAGTCTTCTCTTGATTGTAGACTTTGACAATGATACGTCCACCTGCTGGAGAGTGTCCTTCTGGATGTTGTAAATGGGTTTTTCTTTACCAAAGAGGATCCTGCGATCATCCACCACTGTTATCTTCCGTGGACGTCCATGCCTTTTTATGTTGCTGAACTCACCAGTGCGTTCTTCTTTAAACAGAATGTACCACCCTTAATGTTGCTGCTATCTCTCTGATGGTTTGTTTCATTTTTGAAGCCTTACAATGGCTGTCTCACTTGCATGGTCAGCTCCTTTGAACGCATTATGTAGGTTCACAGCAATAGACTCCAAATGCAAATATCACACTAAGAATCAACTCCAGACCTTTTACCTGCTTAATTGATGAAGAAATAACGAAGGAGTAGCCCACACCTGGCCATGAAACAGCTTCTGACTCAATTGTCCAATTACTTTTAGTCCTTTGATAAAGGGGGGATGGCTACTCTCAAGAGCTGTAATTTCTAAACCCTTCCTCCAAATTGGATGTACATACCCTCAAATTAAACCTGAGAGAGTGTGCACTTCCAGCCTATATCCATTATATAACTATAGCTTGAATATGTTTTGGTCAATACCTGAAAAAAACTAAAATTGTGCCTGTGTCCAAATATATATGGACCTAACTGTATATAGCTACAATCTGAACATACTTCTATAGTTGGATGGAATCTTGCGAGGTGTTGGACTTCTAGTGTAAAACATACTCACAGGTCTCTGGACAATTCTGTCTTTTATGCATAATGACATCATTTGACTGATACTTAGTGATAAACAAGACTACTATATTCCATTCAATTCTGAAAAATGAACTGCAAAGCTTACCTTGCTGCCTCTTTGATAACATTTTGCAAGAAGAGAAGCCGTGTTTGTAGATCACCTTGTACTTCTTGTAGTAAAGCAAAAATAGGCTCATACTCTAAAAACAAAGAAAACATGATTATACTCTGCCAGCCTGTGTGCGTAATGCAATACTGTGGTTGCATGGAGCATAATAAAGTAAGGCTCTCTTTTTCAAATAATCAATTATTTTGTTTCAAACATTTTATATTGTGTGAGGATATATCAAAGAACATTGTGCAGAATTACAAAAACGAAACCAAGGTCATTTCTTTTTCTGTGTATTTTTCCTGTGTGCACAACTTTAAATGCAGTACTTGTATGGATTTTACTATTTAACGAAGAAAGCTGCCCCTCTTTAGTCTGCATTTTAGACGCTCCTATTCTGAATGTTACCATGGTTCAACCCATGTCCACAGGTCACTGAAGCCTCAATGCCCTGGCCAACTTTCACATTGTCGTTGGTTAACCTAATAGGCTATAAACAATTTGCCTACCTACCTTTTTTTTTTAAATCTGATATATGGTTTCACCACTTCAATACTGGGCACTTTCATCCCCTTCCCGCCCAGGCCAATTTTTGGCTTTCAGTGCTGTCACATTTTGATTGACAATTGCTCGGTCATGAAACACTGTACCCATATGACATTTTTATCTTTTTTTTTTTTTCTTTTTTTTTTTTTTGAGACAAATAGAGCTTCCTTTTGATGGTATTTAATCACCACTGGGTTCTTTATTAATTAAGCAAAAATGTTTTAGTTTCGGTTATAAAATTTTGTGAATAAGTACTTCTTCACCGATGTGCGCTTATGAGGCTGCACTGATGGGCACTGATGAGAAGGCACTGATGATCAGCGCCCTATCAGTGTAAACAAACTGACAGCCTTGCTAATATCGGCTGTGACTGGCCATTTACCACGATCTGTGATCAGCTCTGTCCAAAGAACACAGTTGTCACAGAGCACGCCCAAAGCGTACCCCAGGGGGCCTGTGGGAGTTGTGTTCGGCAGGACCTCTATAGACGCCCTCCCAGAACAAGAGAACCGCACTGTAGCCATCTTTCGGCTATAGAAAGGAACTAAAGTGTTTAATAAAGTACCAACTCATTCTTTATAAGATGACAAATAGACAAAAAAATGCATTTGATTTTTCCCCATTGAAAGCAACAGGAGCCTGACAGAGCCCCCAGCTATTCATGGCTGTTCACATGTAAACACTCATGCAGGTAATCGCTGCGTAGGCAATAACACACAAACAGCGAGTGGGGGGGAATAGCCGGGGACGTCGACAATCTCCCATTACTTTTAATGGGGCTTTCTGCCCGGACCTATTTGCACGGATCCTCGCCAAATCTTTTGCTAGTAATTGCAAAGTGCTCTATTCACGAGTGTGAATGAGGCATAACATATGGCGACAGCTGAAGCTGGTAGGCATTTTTGGAAACAAAACTTAAAGACATCACCATCATTGCCTGTCATCGCATTCACATAAATTTGTAACCACATTGATTAGCTCTCTATTGCTAGCGTGATACTGGGGGCATTCAGTACAATGCAACCTCAGAACTAAAAATGTGCACAGGTGTGCACCGGTAGTTCCCAGACAGGCCGCAGGCATCCTGTAGTCCGATTTATAGTTCTATAGTGCAGCATATTAAAATACTTCTAGATAGAGATTTTTGTATGTAAAACAAAAGTTAACCGTAAACAGATTGTCCCTTGCTGTGCTCTGTGGTTTCATTCATTGGCCTTAGGACACAGCAATCATGAAGAGGCTGGCAGTAAAAAAAACAAAACAAAACAAAAACACAAACAGTGCAGTAGGGAACTGGGCATCTGACACACCCAGACGTGTGCTGGATGATAAAAATGTATAGCAAGTTTCCCTCTTCAACACAGCAGTGTTTGGTAGCAGAAATGCAAGTTTTATTTTCTTAGCAGGAAGCAATTATTTTTGTTTTTTATTTTAAAATTTGCAAACTTGATGTGAGCTCTTGTTCAAAGCAAAGTTACTTAATTTTACATTTTAGTATGTATTTGTCTTTGCAAGCACTTTTAGTTGAATTGCTCTTTGCCATCTAGAGATACCCATTACAGAAAAATGTCCTGTGTGAATGCAGAGAAAAGAAAGGGTATTGATACTAGAGAGGACATAGAAGGGAACAGTTTTAAAGTATAACTAAAAGGCAAAAAACTTTTCTTTTAGTTTTGGATAGAGTGGCGAGGTATTGGAACACCTTTCCGTTTTAATTGCAGTCTGTGCACCCGGTAAATAGATTCATTCGGCTATCACTGAAAGTGAAAGTAAAAGACAAATCTCAAATTTTGGGTTGTCCACAGAAAAGTAATAGAGGGGAAATCTTCCAATGGGGACACCTGAGTGTCCCCAAGGAATTCCCTTGATTTGCAGAGATTTCCTCTCACTTCCTGTTTGGCTATGGGGCAGGAAGTGAAGGGGAATTTCCACAATAGGACACAGTTTGCAGAAAAAAAAAAATAAGACGGGTTAAAACTCTTCCTTGCTCCACCCAAAATGAAAAAAAAAAAGGTTTTGCTTATAGTTCCACTTTAATGCTTAGCATATCATCTCAAAAAATGGAGCAAGTAAGTAGTAATTACTGTATTTTGAACTGCGAGCTTATCAACAGTCCTAAATAAAACCATGAAAATAAAATTCACATTTATAATTTGTTCCTAATAAAGCGCAACAAAAAAAACCACTAGTATTTCAGACATGAATATGCAACCCCGATTAAAAAAGAGGAAATTACAAGTGATAGTTGTGATGCTCCAAAACTGTGTTTATACTTACTCCTCCCTGGCTTCCTAATTTCTTTCATTATTCTGATTTTCAGCTCTGTGTTGACTTCCTCATAACTCCGGCACGGACGCAACCTCCTCATCTTGAGTGAAAGTGCTGTTGTGTCATTTCCAAAGCAGTTGCCCAAGTTTTCCGACGGTTTTGGATTTTCTATAAACCGCTCAGTTTTATTAGTAAAACTATCGGAATCGCTATCTTCAGTGGAATCTTCTGCACTTTCCAGAGAGTTCAAGGAAACCTGGGACAAAGTCTCAAACCGCTCTGAAGTATCCATGAACAGATCTGGGGTAAGTTGGTCCTCAACATGGTTTTCAACAGCGTCTGTCAAATTGTTAATAACAGGATCTGGAAAAGAATATCATACAATACTAATACAAAACAAAATGGGCTATTTTAGGCAAGAGATATTGGGCTAGCTTATATTTTGTGGATGGCATCACACAGTTTAGCAGATGTTTGGTAAAGCAGGAAATACTTAAGAGATCCTAAGGTTTCTTCCGCTTGTCTGGTGGGAAACATAAGAATATATTTGGAAGTGAGCAAAATTAAAAACTGCACTAGTCACATGCCCCAATCACAAGTAGCATTTTGTGTGTTCACTTTTTTTTACTCTGGAGAAACATCCGTATTAAATTCTATACAAAGCTCAGTAAATGTGTAAAAATAAAATACTATAGTGCAGAACAGGGCCAGAAGCAGTCTGTGCATTTTTCTAGGGTGGAATAACTGAAAAACAAAATTTATGTTATTTCCTTACATAGAAATGTTGTGGTGCAGAGGAAAGAGCTGCGTTAGGTATTTCTGCAAAACTCAGCATTCTGAATTTTGGATGCACCCAGAGATGTCGCAGAAAAGGTACAGTTGCCCTCAATTAAATATGAGTATGCATGGCTTTCCACTGGTGACACAACTAAAGAATTACTAACTGGACAATGTAGGGGACTTTCCAATATACTAGGTAATACATTTGAACTTCAACTACTCTGTCTGACACAACATAAAGAGATGTAAAGGAGAGAGGTATGTTTTCCATTACTAGGGCAATTAAAAAGAAACCTGTATTAAGATAGATATGTTTCCAATCAGATAAGGTTTTCCAATCAAATCACTTGACCCTGACCACTTGACCACATCTGCTTTGTTACTACAGTTTAACAATATTAATTTATCAACGTAAGCATTATTACATACGTTCATGTCCATCTTCTGTTTTTGGTGAATCTGGTGAACCTTGTGTGACAGATGGGGAACCTTTTCCTCCTATGTGATTGTTTACAACAGGAGAAGCAGGACGGTTTCTTAGCAGAGGTGACATACATCGTCTCCTCTTTGGGATGCCCATCATGCTGGGTTCTCCTGGGCGCTTGTGCTTGCTTTGATGACCAGACACAAACTCATCTGCTTCATCAATCATCATACCCTGGAAAGAATAAACACACACAGAATTAAAATTCAAAAACAGTTACAGAGATTATCATCAGATGTTATATTCGGTTATTGTAACAGGAGTGTTGTGATTCTAGAAAAGTATACCGTTTGACCATTACCTTTTTGTCCAGTTTAAATGGATTTCCAAATGTGTGTAGTCTTCTTGGCTGGTCAGCATCCAGCTCTCTTAAGGGTGAAGGGATGTTTCTTAGATATTCCTGATAATTTCCCATTTGCACTATGGGTACACTATGCAAGTGATCTGCAGAGTTAACAAGAAAGTAAAGATGAGAGATGGAGGGGGGCAGAAAACACTGGTCTGTCTACAGGAGAGTCAAAAGTTTATTTGCAGACTTAGGCCTCTGAATGTGGACAATTGTAATCCAAGAAATGAAGGCTTACAAGTAGCAAAGTAAAGCTGGCCATTTTCTGTTTCTTTGTTCATACAGCCAGAGGGCTGAACAAGAGGAAAAAGGAAAAAAAACAAAACAAAACAAAAAAAAAAACAAAAACAGATCCTTCCATCCACACAAACATGGTGGATGGAGGAATCCCCCCACAGGGACACAGCCGCACCTACAGCTGTAGAATACAGTGATCAGTGGATGAAGCCACTAAGCAAGAAACATTTGCCAATGTGTCTCTTTGACCTGCTGAATGTTCGGAATTTCGATCAGTTTATGGCTACCTTTAAGCAATCTATCTCTCTCCATCTATCTTAGAGCTGCAAGTGGCCCTGCAGTACTGCAACAGATGTAAAGCAACTGCTGGTCTCAACTGCAGGCATTTATACAGAGTTGCACCTTCTGTCCTTTGTGGCTATTTGTGCCCAAAGAACATTTGTAAGGTCAAGTATGGATATGTTGGAAAATAAGGCCTGGTTGGCAACTGGATTTCAAATTCATTCCAGAAGGTGGTCAGGGCACTGTACAGGCCACTCAATGTCCTCCACATCATACTCCTAAAACAATGTCTTTATGGAGCTGGCTTTTTGCACTGGGGTATGGTCATGCGTCAAAAGAAAAGGGCATTCTCCAAAGTTTCACTATGAGGCTGAGAGTCAATAATTGTTTAAAATGTGTTTGTATGCTGTAACCTTACCCTTCACTGAAACACCAGAACGTCACCAAACTTATGTGGCCAGATAGCGCAACTCATAAAAGCACCACAGTAAAGCTGTTTATATCTACACATACACATTTTTTGTCAAAATGGCACAAAAAGTAGACCTTGTGAATCTGGCCTCATCTTAGGACAAAGTTTTAATAAACACTGACAAACAGTGAATTTTTACATTATAAATACGTTGACTGCACATGATAAGAGCATTTCTTTGTAGTGTACCCTGCATTTCAACCTGAGAAAAAACACACTTATGTGTTCGTATGTAACCACTTATTAACCCTTAGTTTACCCTAATAAATCCTAATCTACTATTTCTCTTCTCCCCTCAATTAAAGTGGTTCCAAAGTCAAGACTTGTTATTATTTTAATGCACTCCCTGCATTAACCCCTTGACGCCGATCGCACGCAAATATGTGGCCTCTCGGCATCGGGTCCGTGACGCTGAGCGGCCGCATATTTGCGTGCAATAAGAAATTACATATGTGCTGAGACCGCGCGCCCTGCTCGTTTCCAGCACATGTCCGCGGCTCCCGGAAAAGTCACGATCTCCCCTTTCGATCGGGACCTTTTCTGATCATGTGACTGCCGTGGCAGCGAATCACAGCGGTCACGTGACCCTAAAAACCCACCCCTGCCTTCTGAAACTCTTAAAGGGCCGGGAGGTGCCGGCGCCAAGAGGTTAAGGTAGAAAATATCCCAATAGACGCCCACTCCACCTACCCAAACACTTACCCAAGTCTTTTCTTGATCCAGTGCTGTGCCCGTCTGCAGCGGCACTCTCCCCTCTTTCTTCTCTCTCCAGACACAAAGGCAGCAGCGGGATAGCAGTTGGCTTGCTCTAGGGGCACTCACAGAAGAGGAGGCATGGAGAGCATCAGCGGTGAACCTCAAGTGGAGGTAAGGGGCCGTTCTGTACATTACCATTGCACAGAGCATGTAAGTATTAGGGATGCACAGAAAATTCGGCCACCGAAACATATAGGCCGAAAATAGCCCTATTGGCATTTTGCCGATAGGAACAACTTAGCCGATACAGGAGACTGTGTGTACTGCAGATGTGGGGGGGGGGGGGGGGTGACGGGTGAGAAAGGCAAGAGAGGAGCAGTGTATACAGTGACTGGCTGTCAGTATATGTCAGTGCCTGTTTTTAAATGTAATTACCAGTTTTCTTTTTTTTTTCTTCACTATAGCTCACAGAATTAGCTGTCACTTTCCCCGCTAAAGGAAACAAAGTTTACTTTTAGTTTCTTTTCTGAGATAAAAGGAACAAAGTTTCCTTTAGCTCCAGGAAAAGTGACAGCTAATTCTGTAAGCCATAGTGAAGAACAAAAAAAAGCCGCCAATTGCATTTAAAAATCGGCACCGACATATAGTGACCGCCAGTGAGGGAGCCTCTCTATATACACTGCTCCCTCACTGTATACACTGCTCCTCTTCTGCCCCTTCTCCTTGCACACACACTGCCCCCACCCACTCCCCCCTACAAAGAGGATCTGCCACTCATATGCTATCACATAGGGGACTATTGGTCCCCTATGTGATAGCAATAAAATCATAAGTTTAAAAACCCCCAAAAAATACATGAAAGTAGGAAAAAAAAAAAAAAACATTGGAGCCTCCCCACCCCCACTTATGCAGACATTTCGGTTTCGGTCCAGTTTTCGGCTACATGCATTCTGAATTTTCTGTATCAGTTTCGGCACCAGAATTTTTATTTCGGTGCACCACTAGTAAGTATAACTTCATTTTTTATTTTAGGTGGAAAACAAGAAGGCTTTACAACAACATTAATATTCATCTTTTTTGCTTTTAATGGTTTGTCTTTTATTTTTTGCATTAAAAAAAGAGCAAAATTGAAAACCTTGTAAAAACCTTTGCTGCAATTGTACCAGAATATTTTTAATATAATTTTAAACAGTATCAATTATCAAATAAAATTAATCAGCAGTGACATTAAGTTTTATTTTTTTTTTTTTTTATGTTTTGCACAAAAAAATTTAATTTTTACAAGAAAATATCACCTAGAGAAAGCCTTGCTGGTCTAAAAAAAAATTACATGTATTGCCTTGTTATCTCTGTAAGTAATGACAAAGTTATTGCAGAATGAAAAGAAATGTAAAAAAAAACTCTAGAGTAAAAAGGTGTGAGCTGAGGTGGTTAAATCACTTTTTTTGCCATAATGAAAGAAAAAATTCCAGTATAAAAACGGTTGCCTAACCAGACCTTTAAGACTTGACATAGTAACGCACCCTTTGTAAATTTTAATGGGATCTGCAAATACCAATTATTGCAAAGTGGGTTTAGTGACTAGCACCATTAAAAAAATCTGGCATTCTATATAACTAGCCCATGTCCTACAGCACACAGCAAATTGCTTACCTTCATCTTGTACACTGAAGAACTTGCGAGTTGATTTGAGAAGATTTGTTCTCATTCTTGTCAGATGATCCAGGAGACTGCTTCTAGATATATCATAGGCATTTCTAAAAGTCTGTGGCTTCAGATCCTGCACAATGTAAAAGCGAGTGAGATCTACCCCGGGATAGGAAGGGAGAACGGAAGTACACACAAAAAGTTCTCTACAAGTTCAAACAAACCTTATTTAGCAGGGCTATCTGGAAACCAGGAAACTCTTTCACATTTACATCTGACTGCCTCTGTGGCACTTCACCTGTAATTTCCTGCAGCAGTTCATTAAAATCCTTCCTGACAGCCAGTGAAGATAGTGTTTTGCCATTTCTTACTTTGATACCAGTTTCCTGTGGACATTTTTTTCCCTATAGCGCTTATAACTCGATCAGATTCCATTTTGGCCTACAAAAAAAAAAAAATAAAATACTGTCTCACTACCTAAATAAGAACAGATTAACATATACATTTCTAATGGAAAGCTACAAATACAAGAGGAATTTTAGATGAAATGGGCTTCATATAGGCACTGTGGTTGATAAATGCTATTGCTCCATTTCAATACAATGGCATTCATCTCAACTTCCTTATATGGGAATGGAACCACTTACCCCTCTAATGCAATGTAAAAAATATATTAAAAGGGTCCTATTGCCAATAAGGAAACTATATGTGACAGTGGAAAAACCCCAAAATGTTGTCTATATTGAGGAGATACACAAGTGCTTATTCTCTACTCTCCAAAAGTTATAGCAGCCAGCACCTTGCAGAATGATACAGACTTCATTGAGTCTTTTGCAGTCATACAGTAAAATGACAAACCAGTCAACTGCTTTGATGATAACACAGAGACCATTAACAGGTACCACCAGTTATCTGCGGAGCAACTTTGGGGGTCATCACCATTTAGATTACCTGGAAGTCTTCAACAATGCATTCAAGCCTCAGAAACTACTCCTTATTGCTAAGAGCTGCACTTTGAAGGTAAAAGGCGGCTTTAGAAAATCACTGAAAGCAAACTGTTTTCAAGGCCAGGCTGCACCAAGCCAAATAAATTCACTGGAAATCAGCAGTAGCTTTGAAGCTGCTTTGAACTGGATTTGTAAGAGTCTACCTATAAAGGAACCCACAATGATTACTGTGGAATGGGAGTAGAAAAGGCTTTCCACAGTCAGACAGTAATTTCTTAGGAATCGAACCATTAACCACTTGCTGACCGCAGATAGCCGAATGATGGCTTCAGTTCTGGGAGGGCATCACATGACGTCCTCCCAGAACACACCCTTTGATCTCTATGATGGCTGTGTCCTATGGACACAGCTGATCATGTGATGCGGTAAAAGGCCAATCACAGCAGCCTTTTACTACGTGATCAACCGTGTCCAATGACACAGCAGATCACCAGTAAATGCAGTTGCCTGTTATCGGCTGTACTTTCCTCACACTGTCACAGCGTGAAAAAAGTACTGCCAATGACCGCTAATTGTCAGAGGAAAGATCGGCACCGATCATCAGGGCACTGATGATCGGTGCCTAGCAGTGCCACACACCAGTGCCGCCCACAAGTGCCCAGCAGTGCCGCCAGTCAGTGCCTTCCATAAGTGCTGCCTATCAGTGCAGCCTCATCGACGCACATCAGTGAAGGAAAAAAATTACCTGTTCGCAAAATGTTATAATAGAAACTAATTTTTTTTTTTTTAAATAAATGCAAAAAAATAAAATACCCAAGGGTGAGTACATACCACCAAAAGAAAGATCTATTTGTGTAAAAAAAATTTCTAAACATTTCATATGGATGCAGTGTTGAATGGCCGTGCAATTGTCATTAAAAGTATGACGGCGCAGAAAGCTGAAAATTGGCCTCAGCAGAAAGAGGGTGTAAGTGCCTGTTAGGCAAGTGGTTAAAGGGGCTACATTGTACTTAGCAACCAGTAAAATCTATAATGCTGGAATATGTAGCTTAACTGCTGCAAGTGTCCATAAATCAATGCACAAGCTCAGTTATTGAGCTAAGGTGTTGAAATCTAAGCTACCACATAATGCGTATCCGATTTCATCAACTGGGGGCAGCACAGTGGCTAAATGGTTAGCACTTCAGCCTGGCAGCACTAAAGTCATTGGTTCAAATTCCAACCACGGCATTACCTGCAGTTTGCATGTTCTCCCTGTAGCTGCATGGGTTTCTTCTGGGTACTCCGGCTTCCTCCACACTCCAAAGTTAAGCTGATAGGTCAATTGGATCCTGTCTAAATTGGCCCTAGTATGTGTATGTATGAATGTGAGAGACCTTAGATTTTAAGCTCCTTGAGGGCAGGGACTGATGTGACTGTACAATATATATGCGAAGAGCTATGCAAATTGATGGCGCTATACAAGTACCTGTAATAATTAACTATTTTTGCCAGCAGTGCAGCTCACTGCAGCATTTATACATTGCCTGGATGCCAGCAAGAGGCTAGTTAGCAAGGCATTGGTTAAGATTTTCAGTACTTTTTATCCAGCTAAATAGGTCAACACACAGAATAGCAATCATCCAGTATCCTGGCGTCTGTCACTGTGCACCCGGCAACTGATCAGCAGTGATAAAAAAGCAAAACAGGGTTTCAGTAACATCATGCTATACCTGTTGGCTAAGTTTTTTGAGGTAGGAGACAATGCTGTAGCTTAATCCATATTCCATGTTTTCTGGAAGGAGGTTTGAAGCACACCATCATTCTTAGAGCTTTCTTTAGAGGCTGAAAAATAAGCCCAGGAGGAAATTCAGCACCAAAACAAAAACAGGCAACATGTTAAAAATATTTCTTGTAAACTGTGACTTTAACTATTTTACAGACTAAACACTTACTCCAATATAGTATGGTGGCATTGTTTTCAAGTAGTTTTCAAAGAGCTGTCTCCACTTTAAAGATGGTTTAGTCTTGTGTACTTTTAACAAGTCATCTGAAGGAATAAAAACAAAAAAACAAAACCCACAACATTCTTAGTAGCTCGATTATTAACAAGTACTTAAGGACATTTCTTATTTACTTATTATTAGTTTATGTTAGACTTTCTTATAAAGCTAAATCTGCACTGGATACATAGGATTCTCTTCTAAAAATACTAGTTTTCTGGCTTTAATATAGTCACTATTACATGCCATTGAGGGCAAACTACAGATCTGAATAGTTACTCTGGGAAAACTACATAAAGATTTAAAGCTGGAAGATCAGCATGCTACCAAGCAGTTTTGCTTTTTCAGAGAGGTCAGCAGTCTACGTATTGACCTCCATGCAGTATGTGTGAAGACTCATTTATTGAGGTTTTGGTATATCCAATAGAAGGTATTCACGCTGAACATGTTTCATAGCTTCTCCAAACCACTTCTGTTCTAATGAGAGTCAACAAGATAACCCAGCATTTATATCCACACAGGTAGCAGAAGCACTCTAATTCAATCACCATGGACTGTGAAGATGTTGATTGTCCAAGAACAGAATGCTGGGGTATCATCCTGAAACGTTGCAATGAAGAAGTGGCTTGGAGTAGATACAAAATGTCTTCAACATTACATGACCAGTCCAGGTAGCCTCCCTAGCGGTCTGATTATGTCAGTATTTCTGTGCTCAAAGCGGTACATTTGTTTGCATGGAAATATGTCTTTTTTTTATTGTAGGCCTGTAATTCTAAGGAATAACTCATTGAAATCTGTCCGAACAAGAGTCTAGTAAACATACCGGGTATGTTAAAATGTGAAATACAAAATCATAAATTATAATTTAAAAATCATAAAAAAATATAATAAAAATAATTTAATTCAATAATGTAATAAAACCAAAAGCACTGAAATTTGAAATATAACGCCAAGTTCGCACATCACTGATCTTAGTCACAAAATCGTTTTCAGTGTCTGATGCCGAATTTCTCCACGAATCATTATCACTCAATTCTGCAAGTGTTTCTAATTTACTATCACTGTTCTCTAGCTGGTCTAAAACCGCTTTTGACCTAAAGGGACGCTTTTTGGACGCCATGGACGTTTCTCAGTTTCCAGGCAGAAAGAACAGTAAAAATGCAGGCAGGGCACAGGACAAAGCACTCGGGACAAAATGTATGTGAAATGCTTTGATACAGTAATGTTTTACTATGTGATTTTAGTGTATTTAGTGAATGTCACTTTTTAAAATTTTTTAAATTTCCCCCCTACGTTCCGACGTTACAGGGAATGGAACCCGGAAGACGGATGCCGGCATCGGCTGGAGGAGATGGCCGGGGACGCTGCAGGGGGGACATCGTGGGAGCGAAGGACAAGGTAAGTGCAGAAGGGATCCCGGAGCAACGCTGCAGGGTATTCCCGAGTGTAGCTCGGGGTTACCGCTTGTAGTGCTGAAACTTTACCCCGAGCTACACTCGGGAATACCTCCAGCGAGGTTAATTGTGACCAACTACTAATAGATATATCTCAGCACAAGTGACACGAAACTCTGGTTTATGAAAAAAAAAAAAAAAAGTTATTCAGGTATGTATTCTTCTATTTGTCTCAGCCTTTTTTTTTGCCGCTGTGATCTGACTTCCTGTTAGAGGGTGCCTACGTTTATTGTTCCACTGACAGATTTTTCAAAGGTTTTATTTACTGATGAGATGAGACTCTTGACGGACCAGATGGATTGGCCCATGGCTGGATCAGTAACGGCCACAAAGCTCCCTCTTCGACACCAGAAAGGTGGAGGTGGGGTACTGGTATGGGTTGGTATTAATAAAGATGAGTTAGTTGGATCTTTTCAGGTTGAAGACAGACTCAAAATCAACTCCCCAACCTACTGCCAGTTTTTAGAAGACACTTCTTTCAAGCAATGGTACAGGAAAAAGTCTGCATTTTCCTCACCTGGCCTAAACCCTATTGAGAACTTGTGGGCCCTTCTTAAAAGGGAGATTTATGGTGAAGGAAAACAGTACACTTCTCTGAATAGTGTCTGGGAGGCTGTGGTTGCTGCTGCACAAAAACTTGATAGTCATCAGATGAAGAAACTGATATACTCAATGAATGGAAGGCTTATGACTGTTTTCAAAAAGAGGAGAGGCTATATTGGTCGATTATTTTTTTAAATGTCAGAAATGTTTATTTGTAAATTTTTAGTTATTTATTATTCCCACTTTAACAGATGAAAACAAACAAGTGAGACGGGAAATTTTTCATTTAGTTGCATAATTGTGCACACTAATTGTTGCCCAATAATTGTGCGCACAGTTATTCTCCTAAGAAAGCCAGAACCTCACTTTGCCTTTCTTAAATATTCAGATATGAGGTGTGTTAAATTGGTTGTAAAGGCAGAAGGTGTTTTACCTTCATGCATTCTATACATAAAGGCAAAAAACCTTCTGTGTGCAGCAGTGCCCCCAGCCCCCTCAATACTTACCTGAGCCTCATCATGATCCAACGATGTGAATAACAGCCCTGGCTGCCCCGGGTTCCTACCTCCTCATTGGCTGAGACAACAAGCAGGAACCTTTGGCTCCCACTGCTGTCAATCACAGCCAGTCAGCCAATGAGGAGAGAGGGGGCGGGGGGCCAAGCCACGGCTCCATGTATGAATAGACACAAGGAGCAGCGGGTGCCCCCATAGCAAGCTGCTTGCTGTGGGGGCACCCAATAGACAGGAGGAGTCAGGAGAGCCTGTGGTTGGACCCAAGAAGAGGATGCAGGCTGCTCTGTGCAAAACCACTGCACACAGAAGGTAAGTATAGACATGTTTGTTATTTTCCATTAAAAAAAAAAAAAAATCTCTTTAGAATCGCTTTAACATTTTGGATTGACCATGAGCACTGTAGTTGTTCAGTAATACAACTTGCCTAATAATTGTGCACACAGTCTACAGTCCATTTTACACAGTTTTCTATGGGACATGTTCACATCTATGCATTTACAGCTGCTGTGTTTTTGAATAAGGTCAGGAATAATTCTCACAGCAGATTGCAACACACATAGTTGTGAACCAGGCCTAAGGTTGCGTTTGAAGTAGTCATGATGTAGCTGCCCCACCTCCTTCAATCTCACAGCATTTACATGTGTTATTAGACTTACCTAGTAAAGGGAGAAGAACAGGATAGTTATAAGGCATCACAAACAAGTTGACACAATTCAGGGCAGTGCTAGCTTTCAAGTAGCCAAAAGGGTGACCAAGTTCACTGTACTTGGCACTGTTTGCTACAAACACCTGGTTGAAAGAAAAAAAAATATAAATATGTCATTGAGTTGCCTGCATCATCAGTTCTCAAACACAGAAACCTGCTTGCCACAGAAGACACCCACACCTCACCTATTCTACACATTAGTGAAAAACATCGGAGGAAGCTTTAAAGGCTACGTTCATCTTTTAAAAACAAGTCATAAAATTAGGACCACAGCCAAATGCGCCTACAATGGGCATGTGAGCATCAGAACTGGATCATGGAGCAATGGAAGCAGGTGGCCTGGTCTGATGAATCACATTTCCTTTTACTTCATGTGGATGGCCGGGTGTGTGTCTCACTTACCTGGGGAATAGATGGCACCAGAATGCAGTACAGGAAGAAGGCAAGCTAGTGGAGGCAGTGTGATTAATTGCCAATGTTCTGTTGGGATACTTTGGATACTGCCATTCATGTGGATGTTACTTGATACATACCACCTACCTAAACATTTGTGATGAAGAACATCCTTCATATAAACAGTAATCCCTGATGGCAGTGCTCTTTTTCAGCTTGATAATGCACCCTGCCACACTGCAAAAATGTTTCAAGAATGGTTTGAAGAACATGACAACGAGGTCAAGTTGTTGACTTGACTTCAAAATTTTCCAGATCTCAATCACATTGAGCATCTGTGGAATGTGCTGGAAAAACAATTCTGATCCATGGAGGACCCACCTTGCAACTTACAGGACTTAAAGGATCTGCTGACTGCTTGGTGCCAGATACCACAGTATACCTTCAGAGGTCTAGTGGAGTTCATGCCTCAATGGGTCAGGGCTGTTTTTTGGCGGCAAAAGGGGGACCAACTTCATTATCAAGAGGGTCATCAAAATGTCATGGCTGTTCGGTGTATTTTTGCAGGGAAAAAAGGTGTCACAGGAGCCTGCACCCATAATCAGTGGATCAGATTTACACCATGTTACACCCTAAATACAGGTGTAACATGTAACCTGGTATAAAAGTTGAACTTAGCTTTCAAATAACTCCTACACATTTACATTGCATTTGTAAAAAACTTTCCAGTGATGAAGATACCTTGAAAGTGGAGTAGATAGACAGAACACCAAGTTAAAATTCACTTTTACTGGATTACTTTTGTTTAACAGAGCCAGACTAACAAAACCACTATACTGTGGGACTAATATGCAAGCCACTCAGGGCACTGCAAAATAGCCTTGTGCAGCTCAAGCAGCGTCAATCTACAGACAAGGAACAGAGACTTGTCAGCTGAATGAGCTAAGGCAGCAACAGGTCTGTTTTTATGTGACTGTCTGGACCAGTTAAACTAGGAAAATTCTAACTAGATTTTTCCTTTAAACTATATTCCATGAAAAGACAAAAAATCATGAAACATTTTTGATATGCGAACAGAATTGTAAAAAAAAAAAAATACAAATGTAGGTTTTGAAAAGAGTCACAAAACACTATAGGGGTTATTTACTAAAGCTGGAGGGTGCAAAATCTGGTGCAGCTCTGCAAAGATACCAAACAGCTTCCAGGTTTTACTGTGAAAGCCTAATTTTACAAGTTGAAGTTAGAAGCTGATTGGATACCATGCACAGCTGCACCACATTCTGGGTGCACCAGTTTTAGTAAATCTACTCCATTGTGTGGTTAGAAAACCTTGATATATGTTGGAACAAATAAGGACAAAAACTCACAGGCCAACACGTATGTGGTGATTTTCTTTCTAAAATATACTGTGTCAGTGGTGATGGCTCCAACTCATACTTGTCAAATGGCAGCTTATCTATGACCATCGGTTCAGAATTCGTGCAGGAAAACCTCACAATGGGATGGGAGGATCGTGGGGGGCTGTTGAAAGACAGAATATATGTGTTACGCATATCATAGTTAAGTAAAAACAATTGGGATAGGCCTTTAATCAATAACATTTTCATTTTCTGACTTGAATGAGAAAAAAATATGCTCTGCAGTTATAACAAAATGCTATAGGTTGGTGTAAGACATTCAGTAAATATCTGGTTGTTCTGGGTAAAAGACACAGATTTCTAGATCACTGCACAGTACACAGACTCCTTTACTTACTAGTGTTGGAGAATTCTGATCTGGCCAGAAGGACTCTGGTACAGGCCAGTGACCAAGAGGGACACCAGTTTTAGGATTCGGTCGAACATAAATTAGTTTTCGACAGCTATGCCAAGGCTGGACTCCAACTGCTTTGATGTTATCTGTAATTCCATCTGTAATATAATAAGCCATTTTAAATGAGAAATAATTACCACATTCTGCAACAAATATAATACAGGCCTGTTTACCAGATCAGTCAACCTGTGCAAGCAAACCATTAAAGTAGGGAGAAGGAAACTTATAGTTTCTCTTGACGTTACAAAATGGCACAAACACAAGCTCACTGTCATAGTAAAACTTCATTAGTACATCACTAAACTAAGCAACTAGCTAAAAACACAGATGGAACATATATTTTGGAACGGTTTGTCAATATAGCACCACAGTTAGCAGTGATCTGTTTTCACAAAGCAACTGCCATTTCCTGTGCAGTCAACTGAGCAGCCAGCAAAGCACTGCTACTTTCAATAGTCTGACACCGCAACGTTCACTCCATCTTTTCCGACACTTGCCAGCGTTCCCTTCACAAGATCACCAGGAGAGGAAAAGTGCTTACAAACTTATTCTGCTGATCTTGTCTGCTCTGATTGCGTGATCTGTTGGATAGACAGTGTGTATAGCAGGGTTCATTTGATCTCATTTGTTATCACAGTATTCAGACTCAAGTGTATTTAGAGACCTGTCATCACCTCCATATGCTCTGAAGTGAGCTAGAAGAAAAGAAAATCGCTCAATTCCCCCATCAACACAGACAGTGTTTATGGGGAAATCCCTTCCACAGAGCTTTTGTGGTCTCCCAGTGGGGGGAGGGTGCGGGGGAGCTGTCCCTGCCAGGAGAACAGACACTGATTATTGCTAGCGGATATAGCCGCTGGCAATAATTGCATGAAAAAAATGACATGCTGGTTGTACCAAAGTTGATTGATCGATCACCTTGGGGACAATCAGCCTGCCCATACATGGTTCGAATCTCAGCCAAAATTCTGTCTATGGCCAGCTTTACGCTTCCAAACAGGCATCCAAACAGGCATCCGTACACTGATAAAAGCAAAAAATGATTTTAAAAGTCATAAACACAAACGTATACAGATAAAAAGCAGAATCTTCCACAGCTGAACTGAATGCTGTGAGGGTAGACTGCAGGAGAGCAGGATGTTAAGCAACCTGTGTGCCGTCTATGTAAACATGCTTGCTGGCATCTGCCAAACCTGAGGGTGTATGGACAAAAGAAAAATATTCAAAGATTTAACATCACAAAATTTTGTGAGGATTTTCATCTGTATTGAGGTATAGCCAATTTGTAAAAGTGGATCTTCCATGAAAAATGGAAGGTCTTCTTCCCTGACTACTTCTTCACTGCTTAAATAAATTAGCATTAAATTGAAAGTAAAGGTAATTTTTCTTTTTTCTTAAAATAACAAACATGTTATACTCACCTCCTCTGTGCAATGGGTTTGCACAGAACGGCCCCAATCCTCCTTTTCTTGGTTTCCCTGCTGGAGATCTGGCTCCTCCTCCTCTTCGTCATGTGCTCCCCTTAGCAAGCCACAACGTGTGCTCATACACACACATAGCGGGGCTTAGCCCTGCACCCGCTTCCTCCTCACTGCATTTGATTCACAGCTGCAGGAGCCAATGGCTCCTGCTGCTGCTTGTGTCCTGTGTGAAGAGGAAGAGAGGGGAGAACAGATGCAGCCGTGCATAGCGCTGGATCTCTCCTCCCCTCTCTCTCGCCACTCACATAGGGAAGGGGGAGGGCAGAGAGCAGTAAAACGTTTTTTTTTACCTTAATGCAGGGAATACATTAAGGTAGAAAAAAAAATTGGCTTTAGGACTACTTTAGATTATAAAATAAAGAATTTAAAAGAAATAAGGTAAAACCTACTTACCTAGCTCCCAGCTTATGGGAGGTGCAAGTAATGTCACGGCTCCATTCAACGTCCTCCTGGCCACTCGAAATCCCACAAGAATGCATTACTGCAATGACTGGGATGTATTAGCTTGTGTCCAGCTATACATCCCAGTCATTGCAGTAATGATTTCAAGTGTTCAGCTATCCCAGGAGGCAATAGTATGAAAACAAATATGTGAAAAATATTGTTTTTTTTCTTAGGCTAGGTTCACACCTATGCAATTTGCGTTGGATCCGCTTCTGCAGTGCGTTGTGCGGTTTTTGCACGAGTTGATGCGTCTTGCGTTTTTTTTTTCTTTGCCAACTTGTCGCTGGGCAGATTAAAATGCAAAATGCACCAAAAACGTAGTACGTGCATTTCTGCAGCGTCTCCATTGAGGTCTATTGACCGAAAACGCAAAGTTTTGCATTTAAAAAAAGTCCCTGACCCTTTCCAAAAAAATGCACTGGGTGAAAACACGGAGATGTGAACGTGCCCCCATAGGAAATCATGTTAAATGGACCGTACTGCATTGCTGCAAAATGCCAAACACACCGCAAAATGCTTAGATGTGAACCTAGACAATCTGCTAATTTTGTTTTAGAGGCAGGGGCTGGTAGGGAAGCGTGCCTTCCTTTCCTCATGGATGGTCTAGTTTAATAAAAAAAAAAAAAAAAAAGTAATTAAATGCGATTACCATCAGGAAGTGAAGGATCAGGTCCAGATTTTTCAAAGTTTATCACCACACCACTTTGAACTTTTTGTGCCAATGACTCCAGACATTGATTCAACATTCGCTGTGAGAACACACCGTATGAGCGACCTGGAAAAGAGGAAAATATTCTTGCTTACTTTAAACTTTTTTTTTTTCATTAAAATTTTCTGCAGAAAGAAAATGTTGATTTCAGTCAGAGAGTACATCTACTATGCTAGGTTCATAAAGAGAACTGGTATGACAAATTGTGTCAGAGGTGATTTTCAGTGTTATTTTCACCACTGGATGACGCAAAGCCATGCTAAATCCTGCTACTGTCAGCACTGTCTGATCTGCGTTTGTCGATATCAAACAGGCGTAGAAGAGCAATTTATAGGACTCAAACTACAAACAGGCTCCTGTCCTAACCAATCAAGGAATAGCACTTATGCCAATTTAGTGACCTCCCCCTTCCTTCCTTCCCCCACTCCCCATTGCGCACAGTTCACCTGTTATTTCATTCTTTTTCCTATCACTTTTTTCTGAAAATCCTTCGCCACATTCCTTAGTCTCACACATCCTTGACACCATAAATCCAATCGCCATCTGACTTGGAATATGGCAATTAATTTGCAATCTACATTCACCATGAACTAGAGTGTCTACCCTGTAAATGAACTCTCCAGTTTTGACCTCTCCATAATGGAGGTTATGGATTAGTTAAAACTCTCCAAAATGGTTTTTCAAACCCATATTTTCAGTAAAAAATACACTAAAGTTAACTTTATTGGAAACAATATATGACCCAATTTTTTTTTAGTAAATATATAAACAATAAGGTTCAGGGGCGGACTGACAACTCATGGAGCCCCCGGGCAATAAGGGATCATGGGGCCCCTGTGTCCTTGCCCAAACTCAAAAAAGCCTATGAAAAAGGTACAAGGGGCATCTCATGGGGCCCCCTACTGACCCCAGGCCCTCGGGCAGTGCCGAGTTTCCAAATGGTCAGTCCGCCCCTGATAAGGTTGTATTAAGCAAATGGCTACTCAACATGTGAAATTTTAAACTGCTTGTGCCCATGAAATGGTGGCAAACTTTGGTACCCAAATTTTCTATAGGCTATGCTTTAAAAGCCTATACAGGTTATCAGTTAAGAATTACCATCAAAGCGGAATTAACCACTTAAGCTCCACCGACATATCCGTATCTCGCTGGAGTTTGAGCCGTTGTACCGGGACGATCCCTGCAGCTGCAGGCATCATCCCAGTACCATTATTCAGAGCCAACAGTTGGCTTTGTTCAACTCTGTTAAATAGTAAACCGAAGCAATGACCTGACATTGCTTCCGGTTTACTTAGAAATACACAGCACCATATTGGTATCATTGAATGCTTTTAAGGGCAGAGGAGGGATTTGGGGTCTCAGTGACCCCAGACCCCTCCATAAACAGTATCTGTCACATGCATATTGCTGCCCCAATTGATGTTTACATTCTTTGTGACAGCAATAAAAGTAATAATAAAAAAAAATGTAAAGCGACAATGAAAAAAATAATAATTACAAAAATGAAAAATCAATGTATCCCTGTCCTTATGTGCAAAGGTGAACACAGGCATCGGGCACAATTTTAAAGCGTGACATGTTTGGTATCCATTTACTCGGCATAACATCTTTTATATTTTACAAAAAATGGGTTATGTATTGTGTTTTTTTTTTTTGCATTTCTTCCCCAAAAAATTGCATTTGAAAAATTGCTGCGCAAATACTGTGTGCTATTTAAAAAAAAAATTACAAAACCCACCAATTTATTCTTTAGGGCTTCTGCTTTAAAATACATAATGTTTAGGGGCTTTGTAGCAAAAAATACTGACTGTTACATGTAAACAAAAGGTGCCAGAAAAGGCTTGGTCTGGAAGTGGTTAAACCCAAAACCAAAATATGTTTTCTTTAGTTTTCTTTTTTAGGCTTAGGCTAAAAATGTATAACATAATTTTATCACTGTACTGTTACAATATAAATTGAACAAGTCAGTTACGTCCAAGTGTTCCTTTTAAGAAGTCAATCAAGTTTTACTCCAGAGAGAAGACACTAACCTCCAGTGACATCACACATAGGAGTGATTGAGGAGTCATCCGCCTGGACAGCAGTCACCTGTTCTTGCTCAACAGATGTTGCGCCGGGTATTCGAAGAACTAAGGCAAAAAGTCTTTGATCCCACCGAAATGGCTCTTTTGTTAACTCGCTTCCAGGTAATGGAGAATTTAAAGGCAAGTGGAGCTAAGAGCAATAAATACGTAATTAGAAAAAATTATGGATACTCAGCCAGAATGCCCCTGCAATGAACGTTTAAAAAACAAGGCATATAGTGGTTTAAACAGATTTTTTTTAAAGGCTTTCCTGGTCACAGAACAGCAGATAAGTAACACTTTGGAAAAGAAAAAAGCTGCAAACATAGCAGTATCTCAAATATTTTACCTCTTTAAAGCTAACAATTGAACCCAATCCTACCATATAGCATTGAAAGGTCTACCTCCAACCACCAGTCCCATAAGAGACGTTGTGCTGTTTTTGTATTCAAAAAACAAGTTATCCTATAAAAACAAAGTGGTTGTAAAGGAAAACTAAAAGAAACAAAAAAAAAAAAAAAACTCACATCTATACTTACCTGCTCTGTTCAATAGAATTGTATAGAGCAGCTCTGATCTTCCCTTTCTCGGGTCCCCCTGCCGGCGCTCCTGGCTCCTCCTCTCTTTCTGGTACTCCCAAAAGGAAGCCAATTTCCATGGGGGCACTCGTGCAGGCTCGCTCCATTGACACCAGGCAGTGGGACCACCACTCCCTTGTCATAGGAATTGAGTCCGCTGCCATCGATCTACCCAGTGAGGAGGGACAAAGCCAGGAGAGCCGCAGCTCTCACAAAAAGTGATGCATCGCAATGGGGCTCAGATAAGTATAAAGGGGGTGAGGGGGCATATCTGTGACACAGAAGGTTTTTTACCTTAATGCAAAGAATGCATCAAGATAAAATTCCTTGAGGCTTTACAACTGGTTTAGCTAGGAGAAAATAAATAAACCAAACCATTCAAAATACAGTTGAAAGAATATTTTTTTCTTCACTGGCTTGAGTAAGCACCTATGCAAGAAAACCGACTACTGCCTGCAGGCTCTCAGGCGAATGCTGGCTAATTATAAGGAACAAAAAGGTACTACAGACACTAGTTAAAGGATAAGTTCACTTAAATAAATAAAATAAATAATAAATGCACATCTTTTTGCAGGTAAACAAAATGTGCATATTTTTTATTTATTTTTTTTAAGAACCTGGAAAGCATTGTACCAGTGATCAGATCACTGGTACTATGCAGGTCTCCTGCAGACTGTCAGTGTAAGCTGTCTGTTCGTATATCGTACAGGCAGGCAGTTTCACACTGACAGAAAAAAAATCAATGTAGTTAATTGAGAACTACAAGCTGACAGCTGCAAAGGCTGTCAAGTAACTGCAGTTTCCCATTCACAGAACTCTGTGAACAAATGACGCAGCTGGGCAGGCACAGCCCCACAGGGGCCCATTTGTTTAAAATTGTGACAGCTAGCTGGGTAGAAGATTCCCAACTATCTGTCACAACGGGGGATTGGGGGTACAGGGGCTGGTGCTACAGTAAAGTTACACCCTGAAAATAGGTGTAACATTTTACGAAAGATGAACTTATCCTTTAAAGAAAATATAACCCAGTGCTATAGGGATGAAGCATTTGTGTCTAGGTGAGCCAAGCAAACATCTTCTTGTTACAATACAACTTCCCATTGTGGCAGTTTTTTAATAAATTGCAGCAAATTCAAAACTAAAAGACCAGGAGAATAGCAAAAGTCATGCAACAAAATAGCATTCGTCACAGAAAGGAAAATATGTTCTTACTTCCTCCTGAACTCCACTGTTAGTTGTAAGTTTACTTCCATCTGTTATTGCAATTATGATAGCAGGCTCCAAGAAGAAAGGATTTCTTCCCTGTGAGGGAAAAAATGAAATTAGGTTAAATTAAGGTTCTGAATTCAGTTATCCGCAAGGCTTTTGCTCTATTTATGGGCCTCGGAATGTTCTCCCTGTATCTGCATGGGCTTCTGCCAGAATGTTCAGACATAGTGGTAGATCAACTTGCCTTCCTCTCAACTGTATGGTAAAGTGTGTGTGTGTATGTATATATATTATATATATATATAAAATATATATATATATATATATATATATATATATATATATATATATATATATATATATATAATATCTATCTGTAGAGGGGAGAGATCGGGACAGGGATTAACGTGAATGGCTCTGCGTGCTTGGGAAAGCATTATAGAAAGCCATCACTCCACCATTTCGTTCAGCTGGTATGAATTTAAGATTATAGAGCGTTGTAAACAAGTAGTAAAAGCAGAATTAAACACTATGCTTTACAACCAAGAATGCAGTCATCTTAGCCTATGATTTACAGTTGACATGGTGCTGTATGTGATCAATTTGAAAACAAACCATATGATGACTTGACAGTTCGGTTGAGAACAGAAACAACTGACAGTTTTCACAGAATGCCTTGACTAACGGCTTTGGGAAACCGTTAAATCGACGGGCTTAGTTCCGCTTTGGGAACAATCAGGTAAAAAAATAAAAGGAAGCCTAAAGTATGCCTTGCTGACTTGACTGGGACACCCCTCCAAATCATTAGATTTAGGTGTTCCAATCACCTCCATGGTCACAGGTGTATAAAAATCAAGCACCTAGGCATGTAGACTGCTTCTACAAAGGAAGTGAATCCAATCATGATACTGTGATAGGTTGCCTCCTGTTGAATAAGTCCATCCATGAAATTTCCTTGCTACTAAATATTCCACAATCAACTGTTAGTGGTAGTATAACAAAATGGGAGCAACTGGAAACAGAAGCAACTCAGCCACGAAGTGGTAGGTCACGTAAAATCACAGAGAGGGGTCAGTGCATGCTGATTTGTTTCATTTTTGAAGCCTTACAATGGCCTGTTTCACTTGCATGGACAGCTCCTTTGAATGCATGATATAGGTTGACAACAATAGATTCCAAATGCAAATACCACACTAAGAACCAACTCCAGACCTTTTACCTGCTTAATTGATGAAGAAATAACGAAGGAGTAGCCCATACATGGTCATGAAACAGCTTTTGATTCAACTGTTCAATTTCTTTTGGTCCCTTGAAAAAGGGGGGATGACTACTCTTAGAGAGCTGTAATTCCTAAACCCTTCCTCCAATTTGGATGTACATACCCTCAAATTAAACCTGAGAGAGTGTGCACTTTCAGCCCATATCCATTATATAACTATAGCTTGAATATATTTTGGTAAGTACCTGAAAAAAACTAAAATTGTGCCTGTGTCCAAATACATATATGAACCGAAGTGTATTTACATAGTTAGTCTGGCTGAAAAAAAGACAAAAGTCCATCCACTTCAACCATAAAAAAAAAAAAAAAAAATTATAAATCCTATACCCACAGTTGATCCATAGGGAGGCAAAAAAACCCAGCAAAGCATGATCCAATTTGCTCCTGCAGGGGGAAAAAATTCCTTCCTGATCCCCCGAGAGGCAATCGGATATTGGCTGGATCAACCTTACCTATAAATGTTAGTATCCAGCTATATTCTGTGTATCTAAGATATTATCCAGGCCTTTTTTTTAAAGCAATCCACTAAGCTGGCCAGAACCAACTCTTGATGGAGTCTATTCCACATTTTCACAGCTCTCACTGTGAAGAAACCTTTCCATATTTGGAGATCAAATTTCTTTTCCTCCAGACATAAAGAGTGCCCCCTTGTCCTCTGTGATGACCTCAGGGTGAATAACTCTACACCGAGTTCACTATATGAACCACTGATGTATTTATACATGTTGATCATATCCCCCCTTAATTTCCTCTTCTCAAGAGGGAATAAATTCAGTTCCTCTAATCTTTCCTCATAGCTGATCTCCTCCATTCCTCGTATCAGTTTGGTTGTCCTTCTCCGCACTACTTTCTCCAGTTCCCCAATGTTCTTTTTGTGAATTGGTGCCCAAAATTGAACTGCATATCCCAGATGAGGTGTTACTAAAGATTTGTACCGGGGTAATATGATATCTCTCTCTCTGGAGTCTATACCTTTTAAAACAAGAGAGGATTTTGATCACTTTAGAAACCGAAGTTTGGCATTGCATGCCATTATTAAGCTTTGATCTACCAGAACTCCCAGATCCTTCTCCACCATTGATTCCCCCAGTTGTACTCCCTAGTATTTATGAAGCATGCATATTCTTAGCCCCCAAGTGCAGAACCTTACATTTATCAACATTAAATCTCATTTGCCACATAATTTGCCCAATTAAACAGAGCACTGAGGTCGGCTTGTAAGTTGGAGACATCCTGTAAGGACGTTATTCCACTGCACAGCTTGGTGTCATCTGCAAAGACTGAAATGGGATTTTTAATTCCAGACCCTATATCGTTTATAAATATATTAAAAAGGGTCCAAACACTGAACCTTGGGGGACACCACTGACAATACTAGACCATTCAGAGTATGAATCATTAACCACTACTCTCTGAATACGATCTTTTAGCCAGTTTTCTATCCATTTACATACAGATTTTTCCAAGCCTGTAGACTTTACCTTACACATTAGCCGTGTGTGGGGAACTGTGTCAAACGCTTTTGCAAAATCCAAGTATACCACGTCCACCGCCACCCCTGTCCAAAATTTTGCTCACCTCCTCATAAAAAGAAATCAGATTTGTTTGACAACTTCTGTCTTTCATGAATCCATGCTGTCTGTTGCTTAAAATATATTTTTCCAGCAAGAACTCATCTATGTGGTCTTTTATTAAACTCTCCAGTATCTTCCCAACTATAGAAGTTAAACTAAAAGGTCTATAATTACTTGGTAAAGATTTACCCCTTTTTAAATATTGGCACCACATTGGCCTTACACCAATCCAGTGGTACTATGCCAGTCATTAGAGTCCTTTAAAAATTATAAACAATGGCTTTGAAATGTCAGAGTTCAATTCTTTAAGGACCCGTGGGTGTATGCCATCCGGTCCAGGTGCTTTATTTACCTTTATTCTATATTTATTCTAAATATTTTTGGATCATATCAATTGTGAGCAAATGTGGATCATCTGGAACTGTGTCAATACCATGCCCATTATAGACAAGAGCTCCCCCATGCTCCTTAGTATACACAGAGCTGAAGAAGGTATTTAATAATTTTGCCTTCTCTTTGTCCCCAGTCACCCACTATAGATTATTTTGTAAAGGGCCAACATGCTCGGACCGGACTTTTTTACTATTAACATATTTGAAGGATTTTTTTGGGGTTTGTCCTGCTATCTTTTGCAATCTGTCGTTCGTTTTCAAATTTTTGCGGCCTTTATTTCCTTTTTGCATATTCTGTTATATTCTTTGTAACGTTTAAATGATGATAGCCTTGCTTAATTTTTATATTTAAAAAAAGCTATTTTATTATCTATAGCTTTTTTTTTTAGAACTTTGGCTGTAAGCCACATAGGTGTGAATTGTAGCCTTTTAAACTTGTATGTATATATATATATATATATATATATATATATATATATATATATATATATATATATATATATACATACATACACACACACCACACACATACAATAGTTCAATGCTTTAGCAGTATGCCTCAAGTTATTAGTATCTGTTTTGCAAATAAGTAAAATATATAAATTCGTAAAGTACATCAAGCCACCCCAGTCAAGGTTTTTATTGTTATCGGTGGCTCCATTAGAAAATTTACTATTACTTGCTCTGCTAACAACTGTTTCACCAAACAGGAAGTGAAGGGAAATCTACAACTGGGACACAAAGTGACAGGTATTCTAACCTTCCCTTACTCCACTAAAGAAAACCATTTTTCTTTCTGTTATTGGTGAAGAATTCACCCCACTTTCTTTTTCGTTAATGTGGACAACAGAACAAGAAACGCAGGCAAATCTCTATAAAGTTGCCCCATTTTGCAGTAAAAAAAAAAAAAAAAAAAAAAAAAAAAACACAGAAAGGGGTTCTTAACCTTCCTCACTATCCAAAACAAAACCTGGCTATACATGGCTTGAACTTCAGCCGAATCCTGCTAAACTGGACAAAAATCGAGCGGTGGGTGGCCTTGTGGGCACCATCCAGCTCAAAGGAACCTGGTGCAAAACTGTTGGCAGAACAGTGACTGCATCCAATCAAATGCCATCATTGTTTGGGCATTCAAGGGCCTTGGGTCCTACGTTTGTTTGAATATTATAGCCGGCAATAAATGGGCTGAATAAAAGATATCTAGTGTGCTAGCTTTAGAAAACGTGTTGTGGGTTGTACACTTTAAACTAAAAGTAGTGCAGCAGCACTGAAGGCCTAGGAATCTTGGCAGTCCCAACCTTGCACAATGGTTTCTGCAGCTAAATGTGCCAATGCCGAGAAAGGAGAACTGCAACGGTGACATCTACAGGTCAAAAAGGAGTTTAACTTGATTGATAAACGATATAGAACTCTGTACATGTACAGTAATGTAACAATAATGTACTACAAAGCCCACAAAACCATTGTAGATAATCAGGAGAAATACTGTATGTTATCTAGCAGCATGTTTGGATTGATATTTTGCACTGGATTTACATATGTTGAGTAGAATACATAAAATAGTAAAGCTGGCCATTGGCAATAAGCAGGTAGAACAGCCCACACATTTACATTTTATCTAGAAAAAGTGCACATTACACCCTTACATTAGAAAAGGGAATTCGTAGAATCCATAGCCAGAAAAAAAAAAAAATTCCAAGCCCTGACATTCAAGTGAAGATGCTGCTTAGATAAGCTACAAAACATCTTTAACATAACAGAATAGGCCCAGTGAATGTGACTAATATACAACTATACTATAACCTGAAAAAATGAGAATACTTTCATACAAAAGAAATTCAACTATTTACATGA